CTCATTTATCTTCAAGTATTGATAATGCTAGACGCCTAAATAATAACTATTGTATAGTATAATAATTTTTTTTATAAAACAAAAGTATAAAAATGTTGAAATTATGCTTATTTAAGTGTTTAAATATAATGGAATAGCGTGGAATTATATTATTATTTATTGGAGTCAAACTGTAATTATATTTAATTAAATAATTAACAATTATCTTTACTTCGTGAAATATAATATGTTATATGTACTGAAATTATTATCTACAAGTAATCTATTTTATAGATATTGTTTAATTCTTTGCCTAAAAAATAAACATTTATTTATTACACAAAGCTAATTTTGTTCTTATGTTATACAGTAAAAAATAATTGTAGAGACCTGAATATTTCACAGAATAGTTTTTTTCAAGATACAAACAGAATAACTTACAAAATATTTCATCTCTGATTATTAGCTATTTGAAATTTTGAAGTTTTCACTTTTTTTTTCTGTTGATTTATTTAATTAAAAATTATATAACATTTGATACAAGATTCATCAGAAGTTGTTCTTACATGGAAGAGAAAAAAATGACTGTAATATTACATTTTCTCTTTTATAAATTTTAAAAAAGTGTTCAAATTTGTAAATTGCAAACAATAGTAAATTTTCTATATATTTTTAGTTAAAAATTGTATGTTAATATTTTGTATAAATCATATTGCTCTATTATTCTATTAAAAAACTTATTAATTTATTATTTTATTTAAATTTATTAAATAGATTAATTATGTATGATATATAATCTTTTTTAAATATATGATGATTTATCATTGAATTTTGTATCACATATTATTTCAGCTAAGTTGCCGTAAGTTGATAAGTAAGGTAGGCAGGATATAGATTCTTTCCAACTTATCATCTATATCACTGGCCCATGGTTTAAATTATTTTTCTCTCATTATAATCAACTATATTTTGTAATAAAATTTTTATTTTATTTGTAAAAATACAACTATATAGTATTTTATTATAATCATTTATTAATTTACAATAAATACTGATATTCACACATAACAGGAAGTCTGTACATATGTTGAAAACAATATTTGATATTAAATATGATTTGTAATCTATAATATTACATGTATCATGACAATATTGTATTGGTTTTAAAATTAAATTATTCGTTCTTGGTTTTTTTTTTTAAAAATAGTATCAAAACATTCATAACATTAATCATATGTATAAAACATTCCAAAACTGTATATGTTCAATAATGTTCTATTTCATAATTTTAATCTTTTGAAAAACAACTTTGAACGTTGTGGTTTCCATTATTTTTTGAATCCGCACAATATCTTATCAAAATATGTAGTGTTTCACATGTATTTTTTTAAAATCTTATTCTCTGGTGATAATGAAATACATATTAATATATATAATTGTATTGCAATATCACATTTTAGAGTTTTTCTTTACTGTACCTACGAATCTATACAAATTAAAATATATTTCTGTTTTATATTAAATTAAAAAAACTACATTAACAGATATATGCCATTTTTTAGAAAGAATAATGAAACTTTACATCTAAAAATATTTTTATTTAGCAGTATATGTACAACAGTTATACATTTAGGTATCTATTTAATTAAATAGTTAATGACTAGATTACATTATTATTTAATTACTTTAATTTACTATGAATGTTTTTCATTTAAATATATGTAATCAAAATTTGAAATAATAATTATGAGTTTTGTGTATACAGTACTTATAATACTTATTTTTTTTCCTAATTATTAAATCCTTAATTAAGTTTTACAAATAAAATGTAATTTATGGTTTTATACCTCTATATAGAGGCATAAATATCTTAAATGTATCTGTATATTTACATTAAAATTATATTTTTATTTTTACAGGTGTTATTATCTAGAAAACTGTCCGCAAGAGAAACAAAACCAAAAATTAAGAAAACCAGTTTAATGTACTAGGTTTTACCTACATTTTTTGTTAAGAAATAATTTCAACCTTTACAAATCACCAAAAATGTCTTCTTGGCAAGATTACGTTGACAAACATCTGATAGCTTCTCGGTGTGTCACCAAGGCAGCAATTGCTGGCCATGATGGTACTGTATGGGCAACATCAGAAGGATTTAATGTTAGCAAGGAAGAACTTACCAGACTAATTTCTGGTTTCGAAAACCAGAATGTTTTAGCTGCTTCTGGTGTAACGCTATCTGGTAATAGGTACATTTATTTGTCTGGTACTGATAAAGTCATTAGGGCTAAGCTGGGTAAAGTAGGCGCACATTGTGTGAAGACCCAACAGGCTGTAGTTGTATCATTATATGAAGACCCAATCCAACCACAGCAAGCGGCCTCCGTTGTTGAAAAGCTTGGTGATCATTTGGTTACTCATGGATATTGAACAAGATTTGTATAATAATTTATAATGTGTGCTTCGAAAATGATGAATACAATATTTCAGAAAAAAAAAATTAATTATCAAAATTGTCAAGATCATCTAAATTCAATAAAATATGGCATTTAAAATATTTCATTAAAATAACCAAAATCTCAATTATATCCGATAAATTTATGTTTATAATTTTGGGTCTAAATACTTTAGACACCTATATATTTTTATTTTTTTAATTTATTATTTTAATGGAGTATCAAATGTAATTATTCCATTATCTTTTATTATGTTTTCATTGCTACTAAGATTTTGATCCACTGCTTGGGAACTGTAGATTTGTTTAAACATTTTTTTGTAAACAAGTCTCAGATTATTTTAATTACTCTACATATAATAAATATTAAAAATGCATTATTCCCATAATCTTTAAAATGTTATGCAACTTCAGTTAATGTAATGAACATTCATTGTCTTTGAATTAAAATTTAGGTTTTAAATATTTGAATTATCAATATGTTCATTTATACCCTGGATTTGTGTTTGTATTTTTTCTACTATTATATACAATATTATATTAAATAAATTATAATAATGATATTATATAATATTTTCTTTGTTTTAAATTTTTTTTGCTTTATACTTGTTATTATTTGCACTTTTTACTGTTCTATATAGACAGAAACGGTACTTAGTTAAATATTTATACAAAAATCCATGACTCAATTAAAAAAAAAAAAAAATAGTATGTACCTAACATTTAAGTGTTTTGTAATTTGTTTGATATTTTGTTTGGCTGTGTGGTGTCTTTATTTATGTTTATTAATTTATTTTTAAAAATTTCTACAAGCAATATTTAACGTAATAGCTTTTTATACCGATTTACGTTCCCATGGCAACTGAGTAAAATTATTATAAAAATTGTATTTGTATAATATATTGTCGATTATTTTTTTTTTTTTATTATAGCCAATCAATAAAATATTTATAGAACATTTTACATGTTGAATTTTTGCATTTCTTGATTTTATAACTTGTATAATCCTCAGAGTTAACATTGAATTAGAATTAATTAAATAATTTAAAACATTAGTGAACTTTAAACAGAACACGTTTTTTAAAAGTTGATCTTTATGCAGACAAATGGTAGGTAAAATAGATATAGTAGATAGAGCATTGAACTCTAGCACTTTTTTTTTTTTTTTTTTTTTTATCATCCTTTTGTTTAGATATAATAACACTTATCTTTCTTTGAATAACATTTTTACCGGACAATGTGTGGGCACATGTATATATATATGTATATAGGTAACTGTTTATTTTTGTGACCTATTGAATTTTGGTAACAATAAGCAGTAGGTTCCCTGAAGAATGGATAATATGTTACTGGTTTAATGTTTCATTTAATATTATCGGTTTACTTTTCAGACGTGTCAGTATTGTAACCCAGACGAATAATATTGGTGAATTTGAAAATTGACATTTAATTTGATTGAAACAACTAAGTACTTACATTATTGTGTTTTGGGCAAATCGTTGTGGCTCACATGGTGAAAATAATGGACTGGTAAATATAAACTATAATATAAATTCATTTGATACACGGTAGCTGCAGTAGAGAATAAAATATCCAAAGGACAAAGTGGTCTTCTATATTTGCCACGCATATTCAATGTTCACTATTCACTGGTATCGAGAATAGATACCACGAACACAATAGTATATTCTTGTCAATTTTTTTTTATTGTTAATTTCTCAGAATCAAACACCGAGAACGGTGTATAGGCTGCATAGGTATAGTGATTAGTTTTTTTGAATTCGTTTATTTCGTGTTTAGACCATTTCGTTGAATCTGACAAACTTCAGTTGAATATTATTAGCGGTTTTTGTTTATGACCGTACAAAATTATTTTCACATCGACAATGTTTATCTATTATTCGACACGAGTTCATAATATTGAATAAATAATATTCTCGTAGATCTGTAGGTACATGTTCAGACTATCTTTAGATGTGTTTGTTTTAAAATGATCTATGGTGCCCTTGTGAATTATTTATGATTTACCTTCGTATTAACATTTTTTATATTATTCTCTAAACAACTATTTCCGACCTTGGAATTTATTATGCGTTAATAGTAGGTAGGTTAGTTTAAAAGGCTCTCGGCTTTCACTGATAACGAATACCTAACGCGCGTTCAACAATAACTCCGGCGTTCGACCACTTTTCAAAACATATTATTTCGAATGTACAGGCAGGTACGAGTGCGGGTTATCTGAGATAAAAATAAAATAATGACGTAGTAGAGCGATTTTTGTACTTTTGTAATCTCGAAAGTACAGTAGTAATATTTGATTTCTTAGATTGTAAATAGCACAACAGCGCATAAATTAGTTGGGCACAAATATTAAACACGTTGGATGCCCACAATAGTTTTTTTTTATAGGGTTTCTTACTGTACGCCGAAAATAACGGAGAAAACCCCCTATAAACGGGGGTGGGTGGGGGTCTAACGTTTTTATTTTTCAAGATTTTTACTCGATTTAATGTACGCGTAATTCGTGCGTTCTGGTTTGGTTGTGTGTGACCGCGCGACAGAACAGCTGCAAGATAATGACGATGGGGAATAAAATAATAAAATAAAATAAAACGCGTTCGTAATAATACTGCGTCGAAGAGTGCCGGGGAAGACACGGGACGAAAATGCGCGTGCGGTCTCGGCAGAGGAAAACGAGAACAACGACTTAAAACGGCCCGTAACTCGAAAAAAAAATAAATAAAAACGTCGGACGCCAACCCCCACCACCAAAACTAACCCATCCGTTCTAAAGGTCAGGTTCTGTCGGTCATTTTCGCAGTGCGCTTTTTCGCGCAACGCCGGTCGGTCACTCGTCCCTCCCCCCTCCCCTTTATACCCCCCNCCCCCCCCCCCCTCAACGCGGCCGGGCCCGGCCCTTTCACCGGAACGCGTCGCGCGTAACGTTCGACGTATACGACCGCGTCACCGGAGGGCGGAACGGCGTTCCGGACAACGAACGTGCCGCCGTCGGAGCTCACGGGACATTACGTCGCCAAGTGGTAATTGAATATTTTTGTATTGCCCGCCGTCGTCGCAATATCGTTTGTTATGCGCGCATCGTCCGCGGTATCGTTTATTGGCGTTTGAAACGACAACGGTCGCGATTGGCCACCGCGGTTTCGAAACGTCCGCGGACCGCGTTTTCAATTCGAACCGTCCGGCGACCGCGGGAAGCGCGCGGTCGCCGGACGGACGTCATGGGCGGCAATAAAAAATAAAACGGGGAAAAAAAAAAAAAATCCCAATATTATGTGACCGCGTGGCGTATTGAAACTTATTTTACCCGTTCCCCGAAATAAACGATGCCGACGCGCAAACCAACAACGTTGACGGCCGTCGTCAAACCCCGTCGCTCTTCTCGTTTCGTCGGATTTTTTTCCCGTCCAACCGTAAACTCGGTAAGCCCGAAAATCACGGCGCGTCACGCGCGTATATTTCGTTATTTTATTTCATTTTTTTTTTTTTTTTCCATTTCTGCTTTCTGCCGCGGTTACAATTACGGCGTATACGAAAACATCGTTACCGTCGTCATAATGCGCCGCGCGTTATAACGTTTTAATCGCTATTATAAATTATTACGGAGCGCGATCGATTCGAATAAATCGTAATATAATATTATAATGGTCGAAAATAATTACTGTTTGCGCGTATTGCACGTACGTAGCACCAGTGCCCGTATTATAATAACATCGCATCCGAACGGTTTTCAGATTATTATTATTATTATTATTATTATTATATAGTTTTTATCGTTTTTTTTTTTATCCTCTCTAGAGACCTCGTAACTCCGCGTAAAAATATTGTACATAATAAATGATTTGTTTTTTTCGAGTCATTCGAAACCGTGGCCTCTAAAGATAAGTGGTTTGTTTTTTTTTTTTTTTTTCCTATAGGTTCAGATTCTGTTTACGTATAGTCGTAACATTTTTTTTTTATTTTTCGCTCTGACCGACGATGTAAGCGTCCAACGTAGGTACGTACATAATAGCTGCCCGCAAAAGACCTTTTACGGAGAGATTATGACCAAAACGAGTTTTACTATTCCGGCGTGATTTCGGAATAATATAATATGAAGTAGGTGACGGGTACACCTTGGTCTATAAAATGTGTTGATAAGTCCGGCCGCGTTAAAAACGCTCGACAATCGCAACGGAACCCGATAACGTGACGAGTGCCGTGACTCATCCGCCGGTCAGGTAGGCACTCCGACCGATATCGCATTGTTATATTGTCCGTGATGGCGGTCCAATGGAGGGGAGGGGGCGTTAGCGGTTATGGTCGTCTCCCCCCCCACTCCGAATTCGCTTGAAAATAAAACGATCGCGAGCGGTTTGTTCGGCGGGATTTAGATTGTAATTTTAACCGGCCAAATTACAAGGGGGGAGGGAAAGAAATTTCGATTTATCGAACACGAATTGGTTGTTTTTTGATTTTTTTTTTTTTTTTTTTTTTTTGTCTGTCTCTGTCTTTGTATCCTAGACGTAAGTTTTAAATTCCCGTCGTTAAATCGGGTATTTAAACACGAGGACAATCGGCGATTTATGCAATGGTTATTATTGAGCACCTACTTACATACACTTCTCCCGCTGAAAATTCTCGGGCACGCCACTGGTTGTTTTTTTTTTTTTTTAATGTTTTCGTTGATGTATAAAATATTATTTTATCGAACCGATTCGCTTTCGAAAGCCGTATAGCTATTAGCGTGATATAGGTTCGAGGTATCCGCGTGACTAAAACATATTAGTTTCTCAGTAACGATTGTAAAATATACACTCATTTGCGGACGTCGATGTTGTAATCCGATCCGAATAATTATAGAAATGATTCATTCATATTTTATACTTAGGTATGTGGAAAAGTCAATTCGCAAACGGTTTTCTGTCGCAAATTTTATTGTCGGCTTAAGGGTAGGTGACTCAAAGTGAGTCATTGATGTGTGTGTTCGGAGTGTACAGTTACCAAAATGCCACCGTTGTAGCGTTAGGAAAAAAAAAAAAATAATAATTACACACGTCACGCGTAATACAATACGATGTCACGATGTGCAGAATATTGTAAAATTAGAGAATTAACAATTTATTTAGCGTATAGTCTGATATTTTATTTCAATAGACGGGTTTGAACTCTTATGAAACATTTTAAAAATTATTACTACTGTGATATTACATGCGGTGGTAAGCACCCGCTCAACATATAAAATACAATCGCAGACAAACTAAATTGAAAAAAAAAAAAAAAATATATATGTTAATATGAATAACGGCGAATGATATTATCAGGAAACAAATCAATATTTGTTTGATAGTTTAAAGTTTGAGGTCTAGTTGAATAAATGTTGGTGTGGTTGTGAAATCGTGTCATCATGTTGTATGGACCCGTTTCTACAAGTTTTCTGATGGAAAACGCGGAGACGATGTTTTCGAATTACGTTCCGGACGTAATAGCCAAAGAAAATTTACGCGGAAGATCGTAATTTATTATGCTGTAGTAACGTGTAACGGGCGCGTCGATCGAGAAATATTGTCAAACGCCGCGTATGTGCAGTTTTTTTTTTTTTTCTAAACAATAATATTTAAGCGTTCAGTGCAATAACTGCCTAAACCGCACATTTTCCAAGTTTGAGCCGATGGCATAGCGACCAATATACACCGTACAATTCGATATTCGTAAACGGATTAAACCGATTTTACTAATGATATTTACTAGATGGGCAGCTGCTAAACCGCGGCCATGCGTTATGAATAACAGTTTTAAGAGTTAGAATGGCTTATTTCTCTTTTATCTCAAGATTAATACATTTTCGGGTTCAGTCCGTTATTTCACCGAATGCCTCAATCATTCTGTAACTTTTTCTGAACGGCAGGCCTCTAACAAGTCACTTGTTTCATTAAATGTTACTTGCACAAAAAAAACGGTCACTGATAACAGTCACGTTTTATTTACTAAGTACTTTACAATACACTTTTTTATGATTTAATAATAATATCTTTAGCTCACGTCCTTTTATGGTTGAAAAGTAAGTAATGATGTAGATAATAACATGTTCAGTTAACTAAAACAAATATATGTTTAATATGGCGAGACTTTTTTTTTACGAAATTTATATTTTAATAATATTTACCAAATATTTTTTAATGTATATCTATAAAATAAATAAAAGCCACAATATATATATGGTTAGGTACTTTTTAGTTAAAAAAAAGATTAAAAAGATTAGTGTCATTATATTTACTTTTAAATAACATTAGAAAAAAAAAACCATTTCGAAAGGTTTTTATAATAAATTAATTTTTTTCTATGATATAATAATAGTTAATATTTTTTAACATACCTAACGAGAAACGCGCGGTACATCACATACAAAATTATATTGTTTCATTTCTCATTGTTATTATAAAAATTATAATTTATTAGCATTTTACATTGGTATGTTCTCATCAATTTTTTAGTTACAATTACTGAAATAGATACAGTTTTTATTGTTATTATGGTTTTAGCGGTATGAAACGACAGTGATAATAATAATAATAATAATAATAATTGATTAAATTATTTCATCGAGTTTTTTATTTTTTTTAAAAAAACAATTCGAGAGTACTGCAACGAAGCATACCCGTGATTTAACAAAATGTTGATGGTAGGTATAGTGCTACAGTGTACGCGGCATGTGTGTAGTAGGTATACCCTATGGGAACACCGCTGATATTTTAATATAATATTAATGTGATGGTACTGACAAGTGACGAGTGCAGACAACATGAAATTAGGTTACAATAATGGTTCTACCGGCGATTCAATTAAATGAGAATTGCTTCTCGGAAGTACCTAGTACAAGTACTATAGGTAAAAGTGTATCATATCAATAGGTACACCTTCGCGCTCCGAGCAAATTTATCAATGGGAGGGGGGGGCAAGTTTTTAACAATGCATTTTTTTTTCCGTACAATCGCTTCCAACTTTTAATGTATTTTTGAAAAGTCAAGAGGAGAGTGGGGTGATTCAATCCGACTGTCTGTTTGTCACACATTTAACCGTTAAAAGTATATATACCTCCTACTAATAAACCTATAGTACGTTATTACTGTACCAATATTTTAATCGACGAGTATATTTACGAATTACGTATTGTAGACATTTTTTACACGACGTGTACCTTAATCGTAGTGCGTAGAGATCATTTTGGAATATGAACGTATTTTAGATGCTGTTAGTCATTAGTGTTCGTATGTGATTAATGTAGATAGGTTCAATAAACGGTACACAATGTTTATGTGCAAACTACGAAAAAAATGTTTTTCTTCGAGTGATTTTTTTGAAAAAAAAAAAAAAAATTCTTAGTGAATAATAGGTAGGTGTATATATCTATGTAAAATTGTAGAGATTTTGGACGGTTTAGAGCCTCCGTTATTTGCGTATGTGTTTACAAAATGTACTAATTAAATGTATAGTTTAGCTTGGAAAAATAATGTAATTCCGTACAATACGTTCAGCACGCATGCGATTGTATGAATAATAGGTATATAATCACAATAATGTCACATTAATGAACAGCAAATTAAGTTGTTTTTCAGAACTCGAGATGCTTCAAAATTGAATTATAATCTCAATGGTGATACACTAAATCGGACTATGGGACCTATTAAAGACCTTGGTATTTTTGTTCGGTTCTAAAATTAAATTTCCCCGTCACGTTAACTATCAACAACATTGTTAACAGATCATTTTGTTTCGGAACAAGTTTGCAAAGTTTTCGAAACTTGCTTTAAAATCCATTAATCATTACTATATCGGTCCGTTGTTATTACTACTTGTGAATATGGTCTCCATACCAACCGGGTCTTAAATGTACCTAAATATTAGAGAACTAAAAATTCGTCGAAAAATTCTTACGATTCCTCTCATTTTAACCATCTATATTCAGAGACCTACAGGTTTTTATGTACTACTTCCTTCAGCTTTTATCAATTCTTAAACACCACACGCTAAAGAACAACCCTCGTGTCCGATTAAGATTTATATTTCTTGAATAAACTTTTAGCCGGAAATACTGACTGTCCTGAGTTTTTCCTTCCAAACTCCTACACGTAATCAGTGCCGGAATAACGGATTACGGCTTCCGAGTACAGCGCATATATTATTTATATTTTAATATTCATAATATATCTACCGTACATAGGCGAACAAGAGTTACACAATTGAGAGTGCCAGACATTTTTTTTTTTTTTTCGTCGTTATTATTTTGTAATATAAAGTGGATCTTATAAAAAAATTCACCGGTTTTGGGCGGGTACACCGAAGGGTGTAATAATTGTACACACACACACAGACACAAATTAAAATATTTAACACCTGTTCACTTTAATACTGTTACCAATTAATGTATAATATTTATGCATATTGTTTACACTATGTATATGTAATAATATGTAACAATATGTAAGTAGGTAGGTATTAATTATAATGATTTATTGTTTAATTTTGTAATTCCGATATATTATTTTTGTACATTATTATGCATATTTAGTAATAAATACGCTAAAATAACACCAAATACCATTAATTATTAGGTAAACTATTATTTTAGATTCGGAGCCTAGCGAGGACCAATTGGTTTTACTATGATGTGTTCGTGAATTTTTTATGTTTTGTGTCTGTGAACAATTTGTCTACTAAAAGTCTTGCTCCGATGTATCTACTGCAGCATTTTTTCTGAAAGGAAATTATGTTTAGTTAAGTGTATCATTTTTTTTTATTCTCTAATGGGTTTTCATGATAGTCGGGGAAAAAACTAAAGGTAAAATGGAAAATATTTACGACACACTGTGGCGTTACTGATTTAATAGTTTTTCATTTTTGCCAACTATATTTTCTTCTAGAAAACCGAGAAAAATGTAAAAATAACGGGAAAATGTACGTAAATAATGTTTTTATTTTTATTTTCAATTATGTTGTATTTTTTTGTTATAATTCAGTTAAAACTATTCGCAAAGACTTGAAATTTTGACAGAAAACTTATATTTGCCTTCTTTAGACGTGGTCAAATTTTCAAAATATTTGAGCAATTTTAACAACATTTAACAGGAGGTTTAGTATAAGTCAGATATTGCGGTAAAAAAAAATAAAAAAAAAGTTTAATATAATATTTATTTTTTATAAGCATTTTAATATCAAATTATAACGAAAAACAAAAATATTACGGCCTTTCAAACTATGTAAATACACATACACATAATGTTATAACAGAACACCACCCTGAATCGTTTTTCGTTAGTAATGGTTTTTTGTTGCTTATAGATATAAATTAAATAACTTTATGTATCCTACCTTCCCAACTTCCCATCTATAACAGTGACACACCCGTCCCTAGTATCAGCTCTTTTTACCTTGGTCATAATTTATTTATCATAAAATTGTTAACCGAGTTATAATAACAAACGTCTTTCAAATGATTTTTGAATTCTTGTATAATCTTAAAAGCTTCACGATTGAACATCAATCCCTGTTTAAAATTATAGAAACATGAGTAATTCTAATCGATCTCGTTTCATAGTATTCACGTTTTGACACAAGAAAATTTGAAAAACGCTCTTTCGCAAGAAAAATTGTCATAGATTTTTCCCAGCAAATGTGAAAAACCGGGAAAAAAACATAGACAAAACGGGAAAATAAGCGCTATATTAAACAAATATTATTAAAGAAAATATATAATAAATTTGTTCTTTTTCTTTTTTTCTTTTTTTTTTTTTATATTAGTCATCAATTAGATAAAAAAAAAATCAACAATAACAAGTGTCCCGTCGTTTTCGGACCGGAGAAAGATTTCTGGCGGAAATCATAGTTCGTAAAAATTAAAAATAACGAAATCGCAACGCCGTAGATTCGTTAGTTTTTTATTTTACATCTTCTTCCGGCGGTTTTCCCAATTATTATCGAAAAGTGTTTGAAATATCGAAGAATTACCTGTTCGGTGCACCGACCAAAACCGAAATTCAACGAAAATCGCCACAAACATCACGGTAAAACCAAATCTCCGTTCCGAATCTAAAAAAAACCGTGTAATTTAATGTAATGCGCACGGTGCATATAATATCAGACATTTTAATTCTACTAGTCTATTATGATGTATCCGCTGTGAATTGTATGTCGCTGGACGCGATTGGACGTTAATAAACGTATGATGCAATAATCGATTATTCGCATTACGAAACATTTTTCATGTCGATCGACCGAATTACCAATGCACGTTCACTCCCACCGTCTCGCTGCACGGCACGATTCATTACGCGCGTCCCATCCCATTTTCGTGGTTACTACAGTTCGCACAGTTTAAAATTCTGTTTCGCGCGCGTAGCTGATGTTCCCGAATGTGTGGACTGTGCACAGTATTTAAGGGGCGTACATTGTGGCACTGCCGGTTTCCGTTTTTCGAACGGAAACCTGCATTTGAAATGCCGCGCACTGACGGTGTAGATATCGGTTTGAATAGCACGCCGGTGTTGACATCTTTGATTTCCGTCAACCCGTTGACAAGATATCCCGCGTTCGAGCTTTTGGCTAGGGGGAGTGTAGCGGAGCACCGTGAAACGTTACCCCGTTGTGCATAATCGACTGCGTTTAATATTACACCGGTCGATCGAGTTGTATCGAGCAAAAATATGGACGGGTATTGATTTAGCGATTTCGACAAAAATACCAACTGTTAAACTACGTTCGCCAGTAACGGACATCCGACATGCCATTGTACTTACCTAATGGGTAATATGAGTTTGAACAATATTCCACGGGGCGTGGGCACAGGCCACAATTCGATAATTTTATATTTCGTCGGAACGTTTTTATTAGACACTTGTCGTGTCGTAGGTAACCTATCTACTTGAGTACATTTCAGTTCGGATTTCAGACAATAACAGTGCACCGTAATAAAATCACCGAGTAAAATCGATTTTTAATTATAATTTGTTTATGAATACACCGATAGAAAAAAAAAAAAAAAATCAATAACAGCATACCTATTCAATATTGAAGTAAATTAGAAAATGTATAATCAATCTCAGAAAAGGAAAACAGGTAGTAGGTAATCTCCTAATTTCTTGATTTCCGATTCATGTAAGTTTATTGATTTTAATATTTAAAAAACAATTTATTCAAACATACAATAATTACTAACATTTATGGAAACATAGTAATAACGTATAATTACTGTGTTGTTTGTAAATTGTTACGTGTGGTATCAAAATAAATAATTTACCACTGTAATCGAACTACGTAAATTCATGTAAAACCTACAAGTTGCTTATAAGGTACCTATATGCTTTGTTTGAAGTGTTACTCAATTGTAATTTTTATTCTTAATTTTTTTTGTGCTATACTAATATTATAATATCTATAATAATTTATATTTTGAACATTTTATTTCCTTAAAATCATTACTGTTATCAGATTTTGATTGTATACAGTCATATAGATAACATATCAAATCAAACTGTTATAGTTTTATTACATTTTAGTTTTTTAATAATATTCGTATAGCAGATGCCTGTCCATTGCTTATTTAAAAAAACTCTAATTCAATATTAGTTATTATTTTATTGCCTACTTACAACCTAGGTACTGCCTATGATGTCAATAAGATTGGTTTTGTAACTTTATCAATTGTTTTCATTCCAGTAAAAGGTGAGTTTTAAAATAGAAATAGTGGGTTAAATCCCTGAAAATATAATATGCAGGCACCTATTTGGTGTATTTAATGAAGAAGATTAGTAGGTATTTATTAAAAATGTTAAATACATTATTGTCATATGGATGATTGTAAATGTAGCACTTTTTTTTACTTGTATTACACATGTAGACACTCATATACTATACAGCCATATAGGTAGGTAAGTATCATGATTGTATTCAATTAATCAATAAGAAAATACAATTGTAACAAATACATTTTTTTTTTTTTTTTTAGTACCATGATTTCAATATTATTTGTAGGAGCACATATTGTGGGGTTGTGCATTGATTCATGTTTAAAAAAGGGTTGTAACCCTTTTTTTAACCAGCTGCTGTGGTTCATTTTCAGAATTAAAAAAGGGTGCGAAAAAATCAAAATGGCTTCTGTGCACATAAAAAGGGTAAGTTAACCCTTCCTGAATATTATAATACAGTCTAAATGGTTTTCTTTTTTTTTTTTTTTATGCATCGAGGTTGTATAGCAGCGCTAGCAGTACATATGTTAGAGACTGCGCACCATCGATTGAATCGCATATCATTGGGGAACAGAGACCAGCGTTGTACAGTGAAGAAAAAAAAGGGTAAATGGCTTTTACTTTTTAGCCAACCACAGTGCTTGATGCAAAAGAAGCGAAAGAGTTCCTGCCGTAACGTTGTAGTTGTACCATGTCGATAGTAATGCCACAGTTGTATCGTTGTGTTCGACAAGCACACATGTTTTGGTTTCAGTTAGTGCTCATCTTATTTTATTTGGTTTTTATAAACGTTTTTTTTTTTTGCTAAGTTCATTTAAATCAAATTAAATATTTTTCTTTTTAGTGTAAACCTATAAGTGTTTATTTTTTTATTATTATTATTGTGAAGAGCCAGCCAATAGGATTAATTATTAAAAATGTACACAACATATTTTGATTACAATGGTAAAGTTTAAAATTGTATAATATATTTTATTAGACAAATACTGTAGTTTTAAATTTGAATTAAATTTTATAAATTTATTTATCATCTACACATAAATAGAAGTAAACAAAAGTAGAATATAGGTATATAATATTTATTTAGTTTTTCCTGTTTTGAACTTACTATTATAACTTGTTCTTTTTAACTTAGATATTTGAAATCATTTTTATTAAAATTCAAATAGTATTTATGTTAAAATTTAATTATATAGGTGTGCTAAATTAAATATTGTATTTTGAAATAAATTAAATTTCTTCATTTGAATTATTAATAGTATAATTAAATATAAAAACGAATATGGTTATCTACTATATTATTATTATTTTTTTTTTACAATTTTAAACCTTAAATTGTATGGTTATATAAAAATTATTTTTATTAAATAATTGGTATAAAATTATAATTAATATTTAAATTCTTTTCTTAAATTATGGAATTTTTTTTAAATAAAAGTAATATTCATCTAATAATAATTATATTTCTTTAAAAGCCATTTTATATTTCCATAAATATAAGTAATATTTTTACATTTGAATAAATAACTATAACTATTAGAATTAATAGACTTGTCTAAAAATAATTAAATAATTAAATAATTTAATATTCTTTTTTTCTGACAATGATTTTTAATTTTCTAATTAACTGCAATATTGAGTAGGTATGCAATTATTTTTTTATATTGTTTTTTTTTATATACTTACAAAATTTGTATAAATAAATAAATATTCTGCTACATTTTGTGTTTAATACTAACACATTTTTGCGAAAATATTTTTATTTTTACATTGTATGTGAATTTGTTTGGTTTCTACATACTATTTTAACTTGCAAACAAAATTAAAGTTATACAAATTATAAATATGGATATTTAAATGATGATTTAAGTATTTGAACAGTTATTTTATATCTGTCTGTATAGTTTATTTTGATTAATAATTTTTTTTTACAATTAAACTTTATTAAAATTATCAACTTTTAAGGCATTCAATATTCTAAATAAAGATATTAAAAGTATATATAAAAAAAACCTTTAGATATTAAACTATATTTTTATGATACACATATGGTACCATTATTATTTTTTATAATTATTTATAATATGTACCTATGTAAATATAATTCAAATTAGTAGGTAGGTTAAACATTTTTACTTTGTGATTATGATTAATAGACAAATTAAAAAGTCTTAAATTAACCCAAATTATGGTTATCTACATTACAATATAAATTGTATGGTTATTAAACAATAAATTTATGTTAATAAAAAGAACTAAGTTAGTTTTAGACGATACTAATATGTGATATCTGTATGATCAATATTTATTTATTCAGTCAAAAAGTTAAGTTATATTTTTTAAAAACAAAATAGAATAGATTTAATGAAATGTAATAGTTTAAAACAGATAGGTATAATAGAAAGCTCATAAATTACTTGTACATCAAATTTATTTAATCTCAAAATGATAAAGAAATAATAAACAAATTAAATAATCTTACTAGATTTACTAGACGCTAAGACATACTTTTAATTTAATGATGATAAATAAAACGATACGTTTGTGCATAACATATGTACACACATTATATCACAAATTTACGTTTGCATATTATTTAAAATATTGTTTTAATATTTTTAGCAGTCAATATAAATGTTTTCAAAATAAAATTTTATTTTTTTGGTTATGATTCATGCTTATAATTGTAATATTTTAAAAGCCTACAATTTAATAATTCTTAATTTTTGTAAGTCAATTATCTAGAAAATATGGATTTTAAATATTCAATATTGTGTTTATTTAAGCCATATTTGTATAAATTACTATCTAGTCATTACTATTAAGAATCAATATTTCTGAACAAATTGTACTGAATATTATAGCAAGAATGTCTTTGTTTATTGGATAATTTAAATTGAGTTGAAAATTATCATCAATTATATCTAACTAGTAATATTTTAGTGGTTTGTTATAATAATTTAATAATTTTTTTTTTTTTATTATAAAACATAATAAATTAGGTATGGTATTATATTTTATTTTGGTAGATAGGTACCTAAATACTTTTGCCGATAAAAATCTTAATAATTAGCAACCAAAAATATGACTTATTGTTGAACAATTAAAAGCTGTTTTTTTTTTTATTAATTTCTAATCTAAAAAGATATATTAGGTACCTATTATATATAAAACATCAGTGTTTAAATTGAGATTTTGAAATTTATTTCTCAATACATGCAATTTTAATATTTATTAATATTATGTAGATTTAAAATGTAAATCTATATATTATGAAGTAAATACAAAACAGTTTGATATTGCCTACTGTTTACTATGTTATGATGCATTATATATTTTTTATAAATTATTATTATAAAAGATGATATATGTTTAAGCTGACAAATTATCTGAGTTAAGGATAGTTTAAGCATACATAAGTTTATATATGTTTTAAATTAGGTATTAGGTACCCACGATAAATAGTGGTTAAATATACTTTTAAAATTATTTAAAATTACTAAAACTTAAAAATTAAACTAAACAGCAAATTATAAATATTTTGGCATATATTATGTTACTTTTATACCTATATATAGTTTTTTTTATGATTAAATTAAATACAAATTTATTTATTAATAAAAAGAAAAATGATCTAAGATGTACATACATATTATATACATTAAATAAAACAGTAAAACAATTTGTCCCCCTTACTCTCCCCATATTCTCTATTCACCAGTTGAAGATAAATATACTTCAGACTTGGTAATAAACAGATTGCCCTATTCTCTAAAAATTAACTGAATATGTTTTGCGCCACTGGTAGATCACTATTTTGAGTAGAGCTCAGTTAAACATGTTTTGTTAAATATAAATTTAAAATTGTATTTTTGTGATTTGATAGAAATTTGAACCAGGTTTATTGGTAAGAATTAATATTTCTTTTGCCATTATTAAGTGTTACTTATTTACCTTTTTTTAATGAAATTTATTTTATTTTTTGAGCATTTTTTTAAATCTATGATAATAATTCAGTAGATAATAATCTACTGAATTTCAATATAAACTAAAATTGTTGTTGCATGCATATTTTACGTTTTCCCTGATGATTACGAAAATTACAATAGAAATAAACCAATTATTTATACTCTCAATGTACCAGAGAGGCAAAATTTGGTACCAGAGACCACCCATTTAGATGTTCGGACGTAGCTCAGAGTCTAAAAACAAATAACAAATCATTTTTATAGTGATCATACTAAAAAATAAAAAAAGTAAATAATTAGACGTACGTTTTTAAAAGATTCATTTTTTTCCTTGAAAATATTGAACTATTTTTGAAACCTAAATAAAAATATTTCATTTGCGAAAATTTCGCTGTGGAAATGGGTGTCATTTTACTGGTTTTTGGTCAGGATCAGTATACCTATATATTTTTTTAAATTTGCAATTGGGTGCATAATATAATATATTATTATATGTATTGATGTATTATAAAGTAAAATATTTTTCGAATTTCAGTGCGTATGTACATTTTGGTATTAATACCTTCATACAATTAATTAGTTAAAAAAAAAAAATTATAATAATTCATCGCATATATTTTCCAGAGCTATCTTATTTTTCGATAGAGAAAAATCAAACGGCTCCAAACACCTACGTACAATTTGTTAATCCGCAATAGTACCGTTAGGAAAAATCTAACATATCACTTATTTTATGAATAACTATTATTGATTAAACGATAATTAAATCACTCTTTCACCAACACTTTATCTACACGATTATGAAACATACAATTTCATCGTTATTGATAAAATTAAATTGTATACAAATTATTTTGCAATTTATACGATTTGTATTTTGATGAAATTATGTAAAGTAATAAAATTGTTAGAAAAAATCTAACACTCGAGTGATTTTGAGTTAACGAGTTATCAGAATACTTGTATTGCTCTTCTGGTACAGATATACTCGTACACATTTGTTTGTCGGATAAAATTTAGACGGAATTTTGGTAAAAAATGGAGTCCGGATTTTGCACAGAGCCGTTCAATTATTTATAAAATTCACATCGCTTTGCACGCCGTCGTGCAAATATGTCGAAACAACGCGTACATACAATTGTCCCAAACGCGGGTGCCACGCGTACCGCGGCTGAAAACAATATTGACTCATTCTGGGCATTATTTAATTAAATGCTATCCTTTTTTTTTTTATTTTATGAAAAATTGTCATAAGATACCCAATAAATCAAACCAACCGGCGACCACAAAATATGATATAACTTGTCTTATGATATACTTTTTATTTGGGTTCGAGGTTTTTTTGCAATAGTGATATTTATAATTTGGATTTATATTCTCTCTAAAAAAAAGACAAATATATCTTCTCCTATATTCTCTTAAAAATTAGAAAAATATGCAAAATAATACATGCAGTGGCGTATTTAGGAGGTGTCCTGGGGGTTAACCCCTACCCAATATTTTTCTAGTTCTATTCATTACTGAAGTATCGCGAAATATTGTTGACGAATCACGAAATATTATGATTCATAATGATTGGATACTACCAAACGATAATAATATTAGGTTTATGTGTATTACACGAATACATTGTGAATATACGAATATACAAAATTAACTAAATTAACTGATACGGGAAATTACTCAGTAAATTTAAGTGTTAAATTAGTTTTAATATATTCAGTCAAATCGTTTATACTTTACTTCTGTCATAATTTTATTATAATCAAAAATTTGAGTAGCAAAAAAGAAAATTACCACTTATTAGGTTTTAAGGTGTATTATAATCGGGTATGAATTCGTTATGAAACGCTATGTTAATATTTGTGGGGAAAAAGTATTGCCAGGAGTCAGGACAACCCCTCCAAAATACGCCATTGAATACATAGATACATAACGTCAATACAATAGGTATGTCTTTTTTTATTTTTTACTCTACCAAAATGATAAAATAAATATATACGTATAAACATAATGGTTGTTAAATAATTCGACGATATTTTTTTCATATACATCGAAATTAAAACGAATAAATTATATTGATTTAAAATTAAAATTTGTTTTCTAACAATTTACAAAACCAATATGCTAAATATTCTCTACTCTCTAAAATTTCACTGATATTGACAAAAAAAAAAAAAAACTTTTTCTTGTGAATTTCGCGTTGAAGAAATCGGCCACATTTTTACTCTCATAAGACAGCCAACACTCACATCACAATACGTAAAAACATACAAATCCGGACTCTATACTCTGTCTCCCGAGTGACTCGCATCCCCCCACGCCGCTCCTCGTTGAGACCTCGTTTTTATCGGTACACGTGAGCTAGCGACGCGCGAGGCGTTCAGACCGTGTCAGTGTGAAGCTCCGTCGGCATAATTCGGTTTTTCAATGTTTAGTAGACGAATGAAAATTAATGAAAATTTTAAAGAATTGATGTTTCGCATTCAATCCACCCCTAGTTTATGGGTGGATATTAGGCCAGTGTTGGGGAAGTTGGTTTTTTTTTGGTAAATAAACTACTTTAGGTACTAATTATCTTTAAACATGTTACTAAATTTGTTATTAATTATACGATTTTTTACATTATAAGCATAACGGCAACGATAACAGTAACGAGTAACTCAGAAATTTTACTACAAAAAAGTAACTCAAATTTCGTATAAATTATCTGCAGTAAAATGCAATTAAATTACCATGGAATTACTTAAAAAGTAATTTCGTTTCAGTAACATATAACTAAGTTAAGTAACTTCTCAACACTGTATCAAGTCCACCTTAAGGACCTAACGGCTTATTTTCTTTAAAATAGAATATGCGAAAAATTGCCAATTTGACGTCAAAAATTGATTAGGAAGTTTCTGGTATCAAAATGTGTCGAAGTTTAGTGCATCAGGGAGGTCAGACATTTTTTGATTTTCTTTGAAATTTTCTTAATAATAGGAAAAATAGGTATTTAATTGTACCCAATAACGATTTCGGTTATTTTCGATTTTCTTTTCTTTTTTGTTTCAATTCGGTTAAAATTAATCATAGACATAAGCGCCATATACAGGGAGCCTCAGGGGCTTGAGCCCTCCGTGATATTTTCATGACAGGGCTCAGTCCCTATAGTTTTTATTTAAAAAGCATTTATATACATTAAGTATTAACTTTTATTAAAAAAAAAATATTAAATTTATTTTGTCATGATCTACAATAATTAACTGAGAAAAATAAACGTTTTTGTTGATATTGATAACAGATATTCTATAGTATGCAATGAAACAATATAGATTATAAGAATAAACAAATTTAAAAATGGTTGCTAACCAATTTATTGACAATTCCCAAGTGTGAAATTGCTCAATAAATAATAAAGTGGAACTTTTTTGATATTGTTGGTTTATGTGATAAAAAAAACATTAAATGTGAATATACACAATATTTAATACGTGTATTATACATTGATACCAAAGAGACATCTTATTATAGAGACTTGAGAACTTTTATACAGAATACTTATATTAGAGCTTTTAAAACTTTTTAGACAAAAGTGTATTTGTCGATCAGGCTTATGTGCGAGGGAGGGAATCCTTTCCATTGTCTTCTTCTTTTTTTTTTTTTTGCATCCAGGTCATTAACAGTAGGATATTGATTTTATCGAATTAAAAGCAAGTTTATTTTTACATGACTCCTGAAATATAATGTGCGGTCGTAAAATTATAATTTGTGTTTTTGACTTTTGATTTTACTAATAATTGATGTATTTACTTAATTTTTTTTTTTTTTGTAACCTCCCCACGAAGAAATTCCGCGCTCTTGATATATTATTTTCTCAGATAAATCGCATGTATAAATGGGTTGGTGAGTAGTTTCACTGAGGCCTGTCTCAGTGGTTTTGAAAGTTCGTGATAAATAATACTTATCTATGAATACAGCTAATAAATTAGATACCTAGGTATTATGTTTAATTGTTTGTACAATATTTTAATTCATGACTTATACAATATGTATTTTGATTTGTTTAGTTTGCAATGCATAGGTATCTAACAACAGCGATCTGACTCCACTATAGCTCGCTATAAAAAGCCACCGCAATTCTCAAAATGGCCGATATAATTATTCATTTTGTATTTTCCGAGGTACGTATTAGGTACAGAGACTTTTTCCAGAACAGTTCATAGAAAAGACACGTATAGGTACACGACTACTGTTATTTAATTTTGTAAATAGATTATTTTTGATCTATTATGTGTCCACACTCCACCTATATGTATTATAGATGATTGATCATTGTATACTATAAAATTACATAATAACCTTGAAACGTGCATTATTA